AGCTTCATTTTTTTTTTTTTTTTAACTTGGGATTGTTTGTCTGTTCAGAATATTTCTTGGATTCATATGAATTTGAGAATTGTTCTTTTTCTAGTTCTGTGAAAAATGATAGTTTTTGCTTGATAGGAATAGCACTGAATTGTAGATTGCTTTGGGCAGTATGGCCATTTTAAGGATACTGATTCTTACAATCGATATACTTGAATTTTTTTTTTTCATTATTTGTGACATCTGTGATTTCTTTCAGCAGTGTTTTCTAGTTCTTGTAGAGATCTTTCTCTTCCTTGGTTAGATGCATTCGTAGATTTTTTTTTTTATTTGCAGCTATTGCAAATGGAATTGAGTTATTGATTTGGTTCTCAGCGTGAATGTTATTGGTATATAAAAATGTTATTGATTTTTATAGAATGATTTTGTATCCTGAAAAATTACTGAAGTCACATCTCAGTTAAAGGAGCGTTTTAGTAAAGTATTTTATGTTTTCTGGGTATAGAATCATATTAACAGCAAAGAGATATAGGGTGACTTTTTATTTGTCTAGTTGGATACCTTTTATTTATTTCGTTTGCCTGGTTGCTGTGGCTAGGACTTTCAGTACTATGTTGAATAAGAGAGGTGAGAGTAAGCATTCTTTTAACAGTTTCAAGGGGATTCAGCTTTTGCCCATTCAGGCATAATGTTGTCTGTGGTTTCACTTAGATGGCTCTTGTTATTTTGAGATATGAGATATGTTACTCTGATGCATAGTTTCTTGAGGGTTTTTATCAGGAAGGGATGTTGTATTTTATCAAAAGCTTTTTTCACATCTGTTGAAATAATCATATAATTTTTGTTATTAATTCTGTTTATGTGGTAAGTCACATTTATTGATTTGCGTATATTAAGCCAACCTTACATTCCAAGAATTAAGCCTACTTGATCATGGCGAACTAACTTTTTGATGTGCCACTAAATTCGGTTTACTAATATTTTGTTGAGGATTTTTGCATCTATGTTTATCAAAGGTATTGGTATCAGAGATTTTTTTCATTGTATGTTTACCAGGTTTTCCTATCGGGAGGATGCTGGCTTTGTCAAACGAGTTAAGGAGAAGCCTTTCCTTCTCCATTTCTTGGAATAGTTTCAGTAGGATGGTAGCATGTCTTCTATGTATGTTTCATAGAATTTGGCTGTGAATCTGCCTGGTCTGAGGCTTTGTTTGTTATTGCTGTGGTTGGGCGTTTTATTACTGATTCAGTCTAGGAATTCGATATTGGTCTATAGAGGGTTTCAATTTCTTTCTGATTCATTCTTGGAGGATTTTGTATTTCAGAAATTTAATTTTCCTCCAGATTTTCTAATTTGTATGCACAGAGGTGTTCTGAATAGTTTCTGAGGATCTTTTGTATTTCTGTGGTATTGGTTGTAATGTCACTTTTATAATTTCTGACTGTGCTTATTTAGATCTTCTATTTGTCTTTGTTAATCTAGCTAGCAGTCTACGGATCTTGTTCATTCTTTCAAAAAATAAACTTTGATCATCATTGATTCTTCCTATAAATTTTTGGGTCTCAAATTCATTCAGTTCCATCTAATTTTCATTTTTTCTTTTCTTCTGCTAGCTTTG